CCAAGAGGGCGAACAGCATCCTGGCCTGCATTAGAAATAGTGTGGCCAGCAGGAGCAGGGAGGTAATTATCCCCCTGTACTCAGCACTGGTGAGGCTGCACCTTGAGTATTGTGTTCAGTTTTGGACCCCTCACTACAAAAAAGACATTGATGCCCTGGAACATGTCCAGAGAAGGGCAACGAACAGGTGAAGCAAACTCCAACTGGGGTCTGGAGCACAAGTCTTATGAAGAATGGCTGAGGGAGCTGGGATTGTATAGTCTGGAGGAGGCTCAGGGCAAATGTTATTGCACTCTACAACTTCCTAAAGTGAGGTTATGATGAGAAGTGGTTTGGCCTCTTCTCCCAGGCAACAAACAGGACCCAAGGAAATAGCTGCAAGTTGTACAAGTAGTAGTTTAGATTAGACATCAGGAAAATTTTTTTCTCTCAGAGAGTGGTCAGGCACTGGAATGGCCTGCCCAGGGAGGTGGTGGATTCGCCATCCCTGGCAGTGTTCAAGAACCATCTGGATGAGGAGCTGTGAGATATCATTTAGTACTTGTGGTAGCAAGTGATGGGAGGACAGTTGGACTAAATCATCTTGTAGGTCATGTCTACAAGACCTTGTGATTCTATGAATTGCTTGTAAAATATTCCTTTATGGTCATGCTCTGACCTGCTAGCTCAATGGTGTTGATGAAAATCAATTGAAAATATATCTATACAGTTGACTATTACAGGGAATAGAAAGCAATATGCTTTGTCCATTTTCAAGCTTTGTCTGGAAAGGATACACTTATTTCTGGGATGTCAGTGAGCTCCCTTGTTCCCTTTAAGACCTATTGGAACTCAGGGACGCCATACGCATCACACAACTCCACACAGAATTTAGCTTTAGAGGAGTAAAATAAACTTTCAAACAGATCTTTGCAAAAAAAAAAAAAAAAAAGTTTCTTTGTTTTCTTGCTCAAAATTGCTACAAGCAGGGCATCTATCGGAAATTTTGCCGTTATGACAGGTAATTTAATTTTTAGCTGATTCTGTCCAAGTCAGCTCACCTCTAAAAAGGTCATAATGCCATTTCAAGAGATACTTTGCATTTATGTTTCAAAAATCAAATGATTCGTTTGTAGTAGCATACTTTTCACGCATCTTTTAATACTACAGCACAGCTTTTCCCTACCCACTCGGGAGAGACTTTTTGGAGGACAGAATAGGGAAGATAATTACATGCACACCAAACTGGGAAAAAAAAAAAATTGAATAGGTATTTGTTCAGTATTTGAACAGATGAGTTTTTTCTGTAAGAGCCTCATGAACTTTCCCTCCCCAACATGGTGTAAGCAAAACTGCTTCTGACAGGTTTATTTTTGGCTATACCATGCAAAGAATTCACATGTGGGCCAGTAATCATACACAGAAAGAAGAGTTGAACTCACCCAATTGGTCAAGAGGAATCTCTGGCTATGCAACACTCTTCAGAAAGCAGCCTAAGTCCAAAAGACATCCTCTCTTGAGTGACTGGCTCTTATATGAGCCCAGGGTAGATCTACCCTAGGCCAACCCCTTCTAGATAATGCAGAGTACTGGTGCAAACAATTTTCATGTGTTCCAGAGGCCAGTCATACCCCTTCACCAGGTGCTCAATCACCAATTCAAGCCATAACTAACAGTTCCCTTACACCAGCCCCCTAATCAGGCAGACATAGCTGCATTAGGAAAAAAAATGCTAGTCATCACTGGGGAGGGGGGGGTGAACACTAGGCATCATGTGAGTACCTCAAAACTCTGTTTCCTCTTGTACCTACCTCTTCTGAAAAGACATACTGTAAACATCCCTACTCTGCCACAGGGCCGCTTGACCTTTAGGAAGCCACTAAGCTTGCCTGTGCTACCAGCATCTTGTCAGCCTAGTGGAGATTAGCTTTCCTGTTTCACAGGGCTGCATAGCAAACTCTGAGATGCGCAGACAACCACAACAACAGTAAAGAATATCTGAGTAAAACCAACTGATGATTGGATGATGATCTCCTAGGTACCAATATTCACAAGTATGTAAATAAGAATCAGTACGCAAGCCTGATGAGCATCACAAATATGAGCTTTGTGAGGTCACAAATAGCATCACAGTATTTCCTGCCTCCTCATACGCTTACGCCACATGAAGAGGTATGGCAAATGTTCTGTTTTGAGGTGATTAGCAATATGTAAAGGTGAATCATCTCCTTTCCTCATCCAGATTTAGTGCATCAAGGATGGGCTCTCCACAGAACTACTGCAGTGCAGAAATTCTGGATCCGAGCCAGTCCATCAAACTGAACTCCTTTCTACACATTACTGCTGTATTTATCTTCCCTCATCTCCAATTTCCAATACTTTTATATCCCTCAAGTCACACATTTCCTGACAGAAGACTTTCAAAGAACAAAGTTCTAATGTTTTGAGCTAGATTAGGTAGCAAACATTTGTTTTCCAGCTGGTGATTTCTTCTTCCTTGAACACCAGTGTGAAAAGCACACTTAAACAAGTGCATCTTCTTAGCTTAACTTTTCTCTTGGCACAAGAGCTTGTGTTTGTTATGGTGCCAGGAGCGTAGCCAAGATGGTCTACTTTTAAATGCTTTTCTTCCTTCAAAATCATCCAATTATCTGCAGATTATTATTATTTTTTTTTAATCAAAACAGCAAAGTTCAGTTATATGGCAGAAAAATGTCAAAGAGTAAAATTCTGAGCAGCAAGGGACAAAGAGAAGTAAAGAAAGTGAAAAGTAGTAGCAGAGGGAAGCAAAAAGCATAAGGAAGAAGTGCAGAGGGAAGGCAACCTGTATTGTGTTTTTCTGACAAGGAACCCTTACAGAGAGATGGATGAGCACCAGAGCCACAGAACTGTGAGAATAGGATAAAAGGACATATTTGTGTGCTCCAAAAGCTTGTATCTAGGAAATGATGAAAAAAAGAATCAAGTAGAGTGAATATGGATGAGCTACAGACAAAAGCATTTACAAACAAGATTAACCAACAAGAGAACTGTACTTTGTGCCACCAAACTTTAGAAGAAAAAAATTGCAAAAAGCACTGGGGGAAGGTGAGAACTGCTAAGTAGAGCTTAAGCTGTGGGTTGAGGAAATGCCTGAGAACAGGCTCAGCTGTTAGCCAGGAAGTATTGATCTAAAAGATCACGGCCTCTAAACAGAGAACCTTCAAGAGCTGAGACAGCATCAAGGTGTGCAGATGGCAAACCAGACTAAACGCTTCTGGAAAAGTCAGATGCCTATTACCCAGGATTCCTGACAGAAGACTATACTAAATCAGAGAAGCATATGCAGGAGATGCAGCATCTGAGTGGCAGTACTCTACTCTCAGAATATGGTGGAGGATAAAGAGGATTTTTGCTGTTGTATAGCTAGAAATGCTCTAAATTAAGTAGCCCTTAGTAACAGCAACTGAGCTTTTCAGGACATGCTTGTGTCTCTCAATACATTACATATCTGTATGAAGCACTTTTTACATCAGTTCTTGTGCTTTTAACACGCAAGCAAAGTTTCCACAAGCATGAAGCATAACACTGCTGATCCCAGTATTACTCCAGCAGTATGTCCACAGTATTGCCCACTCACCAAGACATTGTATGCACTTATCACCCATTCTCTTCTACTCTCTCTTTTGTCCAGCAAGCCACTGATAGCTGACAGCAAATCAGGAATGGAAAACGACATGTGCAGACTTTATATAGATGCCTGGAATAATATTAGAAGACTGCATTGATTTTTTTCCCCTCCCTCTTTGTATGTTTCAGTGCTTTGTACTCTGTTGCAAAGAGATAATGGATTTTCAGGTTGATGTCAGAACTACATTCATATGCTTGGCCAAACGATAGTTGTGAGTCAATGAAGCAGAGAACCATTCTGAGGCAGTCTCCTAGATGCTCAGAAATCCTGTAAACTCCAGTAAGAGCAGCTGCATTTCAGAGTGGCTATTATCAACAGAGCTATATCAATTTATACCAACTACTGGGCTAAACTACTGCACATTCTGAGTATGTGTGAGAAATGGACTGAGTTTGGACTGAGGAATAATCCACATCAGGACCCTTCACTCCTTAGCCTGGGATCTGAGACTCAGAGCTTATGTGTTTTGTGCTTGTTGAACTGCTGACATTCTCTGAGGCTTAGATTGCCAAGGCTTCACAACAATGAAAGTGTTAATGAGCAAGAAAATACTTGTAAACTTTATTACCTCTAATTTTAGGCAATTAAATAAAACCAGAATGTCATATTAGCTTAATGTTTAATTCCAATACAAAACTTAAAACTTAGCTAGATTCCATATATGTTTCAGACAATCATTAAGAAAAAGAGTTTTAGTTAAGCTTCAGAACTTTTGTTGACTAACAGTCAAATCTATTTTCTCTAGGACTAAACTTCTTTAGCACCACATAATGGACTTAACTTTCCTTATTGTTTCAGCATTGCAGGTCCGTTAGGAATCATCTGCAATGCTGTACCTAAAAGATACATTTCATTGGGCTGTTCTTTGCTGTTGGGAGCAGCAAAGGAAAAAACATCCAAGCAATTTTCCCTGCCTAACCACAACTCAGTAGACGCACATTCTTGTACCAGAAAGAATTTTTGTTTTATGACCCTTTTCATAACCCTAGGTAGCATGATATGCTTCAAGGAGAGAGAATCTGTGGTAAAGCATTAATTTCATACTTCTTCTGCAGAAAAAAACTGAGTCTGCATATGCAGGTAGTCACACACACACCTTACTGAAAATAGGTACTTAGGCTTCTAGCTGAAATGCATATAGCACGAAAGTTTTGTCTGCTGTTAGAACCGTCTCGTGTATTTGATACTTTTCTGCAGGGCTCCTCGTGGAACACCACAAGAAGCTCTTCAGACTGTAAAGATAACATTAGTTGCAGTTTGTAGCAGGCCCAGATCTTTTTTCTCCTACCTACTTTTCCAGAAAAGATCAATAAAGCAGGAGACATTTCAAAAACGAGAACATCAGACCTACCTCGAACGATAAGCTCGTCCATCGGCCTTCACCTGGCGCTTCTGAAGGCAGACCCGTCCGCTGCTCCTGCCCAGAAGCAGCTGACCCGTGATGGAACTCGCGCATCACGCAGCAGTTAGCACCTCACAATTACCTCTGTGCGACTCTGGTGCTGAGAAGGGCTACAGCTGCTGCTGTTTCTGCGACCACGCCTCAATTTGGGCTCGTTGGCCCCCCGCAGACAACCCTGATGGAGCTCGCGCACTACGCAGCTGTTAGCACCTCACAATTACCTGTGTGTGACTCTGCTACTGAGAGGAGCAACAGCTGCTGCTGATTCTGAAACCACACCTCATTGGGCTCGTTGGCCCCCCGCAGACAACGCAGTTATTTAGGTGGACACATGGTCAGAGCCCTTAAAGCTAGGCTCTGGAGAGCTTGGTTGCACGCGGGCCTTGTGTAGGGGAGTGGAACTGAGGAGAAACTGCTACGGAAAAGTCTCTCAGGAGGTACGAAGTAAAATATCAGGGGAGTTTTGGATGCGTCCTTTGTGTAGTGCAGGGATTTAGCTTCCTAAAAGGTCTTTTGTCTGGCTTGCTGTCTGATCTAAAGTTTGCTAGACATGTGATCAGCTTCTTGTGGGGTAACTGTTTTCCTCACACCCCTACAGGAGACAATACCGAAGTGAGTTGATGTTGCACTGTTTGTACTTCACTTCTACTGAGACGTAAATTAACTTTTAACGCCTGAAAGCACTCTTGTCCTGCAGGCTGGTGCTGCGTTACACAGCTCTGCAGTGGCTCCTAAGAATCTGAGAGTGTGTCTCGTGCTATTCTCTTTAACATAGAAATTTCTTATCTTGGATTCAAAAATAAGTATGGTGTGCTCAGTCAAAAGCAGGATGGACTTTAGCTAACAAATTAATAGTAGATAAGGTAGCCTGTTTTCTTATGTCTGGAGCTGAGATGTAGGTAATGCATGCCAAGTAAATGAGAGAAATTTAGAAATAAAAACACCTAGATTTTTCTTAATGCTCACTATTGTTATACTTCGCTAGTAAAGAATGTACTATTTTGCTTAGCTGTGAATACACAGCAGGTTTGTAGCAAGCTTGCTTGCAATATAGTTTAAGTGTTCTTTCTTGGTCAAGATATTTAGGCTGGATGAGAGAACTTCTGGAGATTGTTCAGACTATCCTCTGTTCAAAGTAAGGCTTTCATACTGATTTTAATTAAACAATATTTAAATATTTGTTTTAAATTGTAATAACAAACTGTAGTATCTCACTGACTACAGTTTTACCTGCTTTGATAACTTAATGTTCTCACTTTTCAGAACATTTTATTTGGAGTTCTTTTTGACCAATGACAATTGTAACATGAACATTGAGGAAGTCAATATTTTAACTTTTTTGATTACAGGTTCAGTATTAACTCAATTGTGGAATAAAATTTAAGTTGTGAACTTGTTCTAGAATCAGAATTATACTGAATACTCCTTGCATTTAGTTATGCTTATATCACTTTTTTTTTTTTCCATAATTGTGAGATTTTTAGATTTTATATATACATGAAGAAATATATATACATGCACACTCTTTATTTAGGTATTTTGCTATATTCCTGTAAGAATCCTATTTCCCAGTTAGCTAAGATGCAGTCAAAATACTAGAAAGCATTCTACTCTAAGCAGAGAATTGGATATTTCAAGAGAAAATTATGATATTAAAATTGAGTTCAAGTGTATGTAAAGATCCCAGATCTAGGTTTGATTTGCCTAAAAGTAAAAACATCAGAAAGATTAAAGAAAAGCTGTGGATAACAGCAACTTTCCTTCCTGTCTTCAATTTGCAATGTTTTGGCAAAATGCCTTCTTCTAGGAAAGTGTTTTGGTTATTGTACTACATCTTATTTTCTTGATCTCAGTTAATGGAGCTAAAACACATCAAGTAACTGTGACAAAGTAAATTAAATGGCTTAGAAAAGTTGGGCTTCTCTTGTTTTTTCACTGTGTGGTGACTCTCACTGAGTGGTATTTGCTTTTCAAATGCCCACGAAGACATGTCACACATTCTTGCAAAAGCTTTCAATTTCAAAGTAGCTATCAACCAGAAAAGTTAGTTACCTGCATAGCTTCTGTGTAAACAAGAAATATCCTGAAAGCTGAAGTTTAGTGTAGATGGCTGCTAATAATTGAGGGTTGAAAATGGAAAGCTTTAGAGTAACCGTGTCTGGTGATGTTGTCACAATACTTCCTCTTTAATGTGCATTTCCTCATGAAGTTTTCTTCCAAAAATGCTTATTGCTGGGAGATGAGTTGTGTCATATTTCTGTCCAGGTGTTGTCAGAAGACTGCTGATAGGAAGTTCCGCACAAACGTGCACAAGAACTTCTTACAGTGAGGGTGACGGAGCACTGGAACAGGCTGCCCAGGGAGGTTGTGGAGTCTCCTTCTCTGGAGATATTCAAGACTTGCCTGGACACCTGCTTGTGTGACCTGGTGTAGAGAACCTGCTTTGGCAGGGGGGTGGACTCGATGATCTCTGGAGGTCCCTTCCAACCCCTATGATTCTGTGATTCTGATCTACATTGGTCCATTCCAAAAGAATGAGAGTCAGTGTGGCAATAACTCACTGAATTTACTATAGACACAAGATATTGTTGTACAGCTGCACTGATTTTGGCTGAGATAGAGCTTATTTTCTGCATAGTAGCTTACTAATACAAGTCTGCTAGATGCTTGGTACACTGAGTAATTGCTAGGGCTCTGGAGTGTTTTGTGTTGGGTATCAAACAAGTATTACACAATTATTTTGTTATGACTTTGTGTTAGAAATAGAATAGTTCAGTATTAAAAATAAAATAAAATCCTTACGGTGTAGAAGGTGTGAAAACTACTGTTATTTGCCCAGAATCAGGTGTTAGCCTAGTAACTGCATGACTGGCTCGCAGTAAGGGCCAAGTTGCACAGTGTCTGTGGACTGAGCTGCTTTTAAGTATCTGTACAATGCCGAAATGAGGCATAGTTCTAGAAAAAAAATGACTGAAGATGAAAGTGCTAGTTAAGTATGCTCTCCCTGCACATTTATGTGTAAGATAGTATGGAAATACTTTTTATGTCATGAAACTGATTCTTTCTACTGTGTGGAAGAGGGATGTGGGGTGAGACAGTGAGGCTGTCACCTAGAAACTGTCATCATTTTCAGCCTGACTTATTCACCAAATTAAGGCTTTAAAAAGATCTTTCTGTTGGATTCATGTGAAAGTGAGACTGTGATTTATTTGATCTTCCTGCATGCTCACCAAACCTTGAAGGTGAGCAATAGTAGGAAAGTTGTATCAACTGCAGCAGCAGGTGCTAAACCTTGCTTAGAAGTCTAGTTTGCACATAAACCACTTATTTATAGCTTTTCATTTATTTATTTGTGGCCCTCTTATAACATACCAGCAACAGCCAGGGTTTGCTAGGTTGCTTTGCTTTGTTATGCTCCAGATCTTACAGAGCATAAAGGTAGCTTGCATAGAAGTCTGCAATTTAGCATGACCCATGACTGCTGTTTTGTTACAAGATATTTTTATTAGTATTTATATTAGTAATATTAGTAAATAAATGAAGGGTAAAAACAGGCAGAAAACAAACTTCCCTTCCTCTGCCTTCTGCGTAATTGCAGTGACATGGGAAGACTTCAAGTGAAACTTTCCTTTTGAATGGCACTGTAATTCTTTGAATTTAGAATACCTCTGAAAGGATGGCAAAGTCTCTGTGTCTGAAAAACGTAAATGGTGAAATTCCAATGCACCCTATTTTTTCAGTGTTCATGTGTCCCAGAAATTTTCTTCTGTTATCTTAAAAGATACTGGCTTTTTTATGTAATTAGCCCAAGTTTCCAGAACCTTTTAATGGCTGAAATACAAACATGCAGCTATTTACCTAGACAAGAGTGTAGAGTTGTGCTTCTCTGCAATGTCCCTAAATGTCCAAACAGCAGAATTGTTTTGGCTGCAGTGATCAGATTAGTGTCTAACACACATTTAGGTGTAACAGAGCTTTGAGTCCAGCTATATGTTTAGGTTTCCTTTTGTACAGTAGGTACTCAGCTGGAGAAAGTATTAGTCTTCTCTAACCTCTAGTTTTGTTGTGTAAAACATTCTCAGAAAGAGAAGATCATACAAAAAGTGTTTGTGGAACAGGGCCTACCATCTCTGAATCTGGAACATAAAAAGACATGTAAATCATATTCAGGGTGCAAAAGTGTGTGTTAGTAGCACTGAATTTATAGGTTATACAAATGACTGGTGGGGGAAAAAAAAACAAACATTGGTGCATGTTTATCTGGTGGTTGGATTGAGACTTAGAAAGTATATCTAGTGATACGGAAGTGGAACTCTTTGTTATTTTCCCAGAGTCAGAAGGAAGGCATAAGCATCCCACTTGAGGAAAATATCATGCCTATAAGCCCAGTTTCTCCCAGATGTTCACTCAGGTCATTCCTGATGAGGTTCTCTTTAGACCTGCTGAAAGGATGGCTTCTATCTTCAGATACAGTGAGTTTTCAGTTCAACTTTTTTCAGTTGTAGGGTTTGTAAGTGAGAGCAAGCCAGGGATTAATCCAGGTTAATGATCCAAGGGTGCATTTATTTTTCATGTTGTCTTTCACAATGTCTGTACTTCAGTAGTATCTTTTCTTCCAACAAGAGTAGTTTACAGGGCTGTGGAATATTTTATTGGGGAAATCATATGTCTTTTGGCTTGTTTTCTATTTTGGTATAGTGTTCAATCTGTTTTATAAGCCTTATAGAAAAGGTCAGCAGCAAGAGAAAAAGTAAATGTGCATGAGTGCTGCTGAGACTTGAAAAATTTGTCCTTGGTGCCATAGTCTTGCTTTTCTGAACCAAATTCAGTCAGAGGGGAATGAGAGAAAGAAGAACTGCTTAGGTAATCATAAGCATTTTTTATGCTTCCTCCATGCTACTGAATAGCTATGCATAAGCCTGCTTTACTTTTGGTGTTTGGAAATAATAGTATTGCTGCAAAAATCAAAAACCTGAGTGTCTGTGATTATTCATAGTATCTCCTGAGAAGCACTACGTGCCTGCATGATGCTGTCAACACAGTCCTTGCTTCCCCTTTTATTTCCAAGCAGAATTCAAGTAGTGCTGGAGAGAGGGATTTGTTTTACCTTAGAGGCAACTCTATTTGAATGCTAGTTGGGAGTTTTTGGGAAAACAACTTAATTATCTACCTGCTTGAAATGTGATAGTGTCCTGAAGAACCTGAATAAGCATTGTGTCAGTGTCTACACTTTGGGTGCAGGATGAAAAACCTTTTTTCTGTTATCTTTTTCTGAAGTTAAATTCCAGCAGATGTCTGATTTTTTTCAGTTCTATATCCTTTTATCAAAATTGCTTTGATCAAATGAAACCTTACCTTTAAATCTGCTGCTCCCCTTCTGTGTTCAGATTTTTCCCATCTCCCTATTCAGTAGTCCCTCCCTGGATCAGATGCTGTT